CCCCTCCCCGCCCCCACGACCACGACGGTGCGCCTGCACTACGACCACCAGCTGCAGCTCGAGGGCGCTAGTGTCAAGTGGCTGGCCGCCGCGGCTAAATAGTCCAGGCCAGCGTTTTTACTACACCCGGGCCCGGGGCACGCACCGCACAGTCATATAAACACAGCCGGCGAGGGCTCGAAGTGGAGCGAAAGGGGGGGGGGGACTGTCAAAATAGAAATAAATAAACCCCAAACCAAAACTGAGGACGTCCATGAGCGCAGCTTTTAAAACTTCCAGAAGAAATCCGAACCCTGACAGGGCCGCGTTCAAGGTCAAGAGTCTTAAAATAGGGGTAGGAGTATGAAAAGTGAAACATGTACGTGTCATAGAATGCATAGTACTGCACAGTGCAACCCGGCCCGACCGGTTTGCTCAGGCATCGCCATTTATGGTCACTGCGGTGGAATGCTCTTACCCCCCCCCCCCCCGATCGATGCGGCCATCCCTCCGCTATTCGTCTTGTGGGCGAATAGTTAGGTTATAATTTATTGCAAGTGCTAGGGCTAGAACGGTTGCCATTTTTCTAGACATTTATCACAAATGCCCGCAACATGCCGAATTCTTAAGCAAATTACCCCTTGCGATGACGCCTTCAGTGGCGCAAACGATAAAACAGTGTACTCACCAGCAGAAGCTCCAAAGCAGACGGACGCACAAACCACACAACTCAAAGAAACTAAGCCAAAGGCTTGGCGATATCTAATGAAGGAGTACACTAAAGCTTGAACTGAAATTTGACCTAGTTTTCATCAAAGTGATCCGATTACTACATTCCTATGTTGAGTCGATGTGCCGAGATTCACCAATAATTGTATCCATGACAACAAACCACACAGCAGACAACACAAGCAGAAAGCTGAATCCCAAATCGATACCAGCGTGGATAGATCGACCTCAGATCGATAGATATCGACAGCTTGTCTCTTGACCCATACCAACACAAGAGCTAGAAATTTCGACCAAAAAAGTTGAAGTACGGATTGTTTTTGATTAAGATATCAAAATTTAACTGAATTCTTTCTTTCCTAGTTAATTATGTTTATCATGGGATACATTTAATAGCAAAATTTGAAATTGGCCGAAAGTACACCTTCAGTGGCCGTTCGTCAGCCTGACACAGTCGGCCATGGCGGGGGCCTTGTGTTATTTGATGTGGAGGTCATGTGTAGCTGATGAGGTTAGACTTGATCTGCGGGTTTCTCTCATCGGGTGATATAACGATCTTTCCAATCCCTATCAGAACTGCCCGACCCGACATCAGTCCTTTTTCGTTTACGTGCAGGGTGTGTGTGATTTGGGGGCAAGGCTCAAACGTTGATCCGTATTTGTTCCCGGATTTGCGTGCCGCTCTAACAGGTGTTTGTCATTAATCCTTTGAATGCTTCTGTTATGTAACTTATTGGTTTAATGTTTTCATCCCATTTACTGAGCTTTTATCATCATCTCTATCGTTACATCATCATATTTTATGTTAAATTTCCTTCTACTGAGCTGAGTAAGCTCCCTGATCTCACTTATTGTCTTCTTTGGACAAACAAATTGGGCTATACCCACCTTCCATTAACATTCTTTTTTTTCCCCAATGGGATTCAAATTTCTCTTAGCACCTCTTAATTTGCTTTTCCTTTCTGTTGCAGATACGTAATCATGTCTCAAAACGTTTTGGTCATTGGAAGTGGGGGCCGTGAGCATGCTTTGTGCTGGAAGTTGGCTCAGTCCACTGAGGTAAGATTGGTTTTCCATTTATATTTTCTTAAACCTTAAACAGGAGGATTCTACCGATACTAATTAAATGACTACCTGCTTGATAGACTTCTGCATTACATACAGGAGGCTATTTTATTCATCATGTGAATTTATCTAATTTTTCTACAGGTCAAGCAGGTGTTTATTGCCCCTGGAAATGTGGGAATCATTGGCGATAAAATTAAATCAGTGTCTGTTAATGTAGCTGACCATCCGGTAAGCTTGAAATAGAAATAACATTTGCAAAAAGATCCTCACTGTGATAACAATTGTAGTATTAGTTTTTTTATTTTTGTTTTAGGCTCTTGTGAAGTGGTGTACTTCAAACTCTGTAAGTCTCGTTGTTGTTGGACCTGAGAATGAGCTAGTGACTGGAATTGCTGATGCTTTACAAAAAGCCAATATTCACTGCTTTGGACCCAGCAAAGAGGCTGTTCAGATTGAGAGCAACAAAGAATGGGCCAAACTTTTCATGGATCGCTACGAAATTCCAACAGCACGTTGGGGCTCTTTTACACAGGCGGAGCATGCTAAAAAGTTCATCAACAAGTAAGTTGTATTTTTCTCCTTTTCTTTGTTTGTCAGCATTGTCTAATATATTTTCTGTATTATAGCTCCACATTCCCAGCTCTTGTTGTGAAGGCAAGTGGTCTTGCTGCTGGTAAAGGTGTAGTTGTCGCATCAAATACTGAGGAAGCCTGTGCAGCAGTGGATGAAATGCTCACTGACCAGAAATTTGGCTCTGCTGGTAATACAGTAGTTGTAGAAGAAATTCTTGAAGGAGAGGAAGTATCTGTAAGAACTTTTACCTTTTCTTAATCTGTAAATGTTGTCATGTGTTACTATTTTCTTACTGACCTTTGCATTATTTTTAGGTCCTTGGATTTTGTGATGGCAAAACAGTTAAAGCTATGCTGCCAGCTCAAGACCACAAACGTCTTCTTGATGGTGACAAGGGACCCAACACTGGTGGAATGGGAGCCTACTGCCCTTGTCCTCTCCTAAATGAAAAGCAGCTTAAAGAAGTTGAAAAGAGCATCTTACAGAAAACTGTTGATGGGCTCAACAAGGAAGGCAAAAAGGGAATTCCATTTGTTGGTGAGTTATCTGTTATCTCTAAAAATGTTTCTTTTATTTTGGAGTTAATCACCTGTTATTTTTTGCCCATGCTTTTTTTTTTGTCTTTTTTCCTTAAGGCATACTTTATGCTGGATTGATGGTTACCAAGGAAGGACCAAAGGTTCTTGAGTTCAATGCCCGATTTGGAGATCCAGAAACTCAAGTTCTACTTCCGCTTTTGGACACTGATCTGTACCAGATAATGAAGGTACAGCTTTTTGATTCTTGATTTTTTTCCCCCTTTTCTCTAGTCATCTATTTGGTAAACAATCACCTAAAATGACATTATTTGAACAGGCGTGTTGTAAGGGAGAATTACACAACCAAATCATAAATTGGAAACAGAACATGTATGCAGTTGGTGTTATCATGGCTAGTCGTGGTTACCCTGAAACATCTACCAAAGGATGTGTTATCACAGGTATGAAATGCATTAATTTCTTACCCTTTCTTACCAGCTCTTCCCATCTCCTCCAAAAGAAAATCTTTTAGAACATTTTATACAAGCTAATCTGTTGTTTCATAGGTATTGATGAGGTTTCCAAGCTTCCTGACCATATTGTCTTCCATAGTGGCACCGCCAAAAATGAAAAGGGTGAAATTGTGACAAATGGAGGAAGAGTTTTGATGCCTGTGTCTCTAGCTTCAAGTTTACCACTTGCTGTTGCACAGGCAACTAAAGCTTGTGATAAAATTAAATTTGATGGCGCACAGTTCCGACGAGATATTGCTCACAAAGGAATCTCAAGGTTTGGTTCATAATACAATTAAAACTCTCATACTGTTATCAGTAAATTTCCAAATTTTTATAATTTTTATGTGAATAAAGTTGCTTTTTTAGAATTTGGAATCTCCTTAATTTCTTTTTTTCTTCAAATTCTATTCGTTGATTTTACCCCAAAACTAGCACTTTGGCTTCCTAAAAGCAGATATTTTTGACTAATGTCAAATGAATAAGTGAACATTCTCATTTACAGTAGAACCTAAGAATAATACCTAATAAATTATTTACAGGTCAATTTTGTCTTATGGTAAAATGACTTACAAAGCAAGCGGTGTTGATATTACTGCTGGAGATGATCTTGTGTCTCGCATCAAACCATTAGTGGCCAGAACAAAACGCACTGGAATGGTTGGTTCAATCGGAGGCTTTGGTGGTCTCTTTGATGTTTCAGCTGCTGGGTACAAAGACCCTTTGCTTGTCTCTGGTTCTGATGGTGTTGGCACCAAGTTGAAGGTTGGTTTCAACATTAAAAAATTCATTGAAAATGAAATAAAGAAATCCTTAATTTTTGTCTTTAAAAACTCTAACCTTTGGAGCATTTAAACTTATTAATATATATTGTAAACAGGTTGCCCAGGCTTGTGGAATCCATTCTACCATTGGAATAGATCTTGTTGCTATGTGTGTGAATGACATATTGGCCCATGGTGCAGAGCCCTTGTTCTTCCTGGATTACTTTGCCTGTAGCTCTTTGGATGTGTCAGCAGCATCCCAAGTAATTGCAGGAATCAGTGAAGGATGTCATTCTGCTGACTGTGCCTTGATTGGTAACAACTTTTTTGTGTTTTTTAGAAGAAAAAAAATTGTGGTGAAACTAGAATCATAATAATAATATTTTTTTGGTATGTAGGTGGAGAAACAGCTGAGATGCCTGGTTTGTATGCTCCTGGTGATTATGACTTGGCTGGTTTTGCTGTTGGTGCTGTGGAAAAGTCAAGTCTTATGCCTCGCACAAACGAAATAAGTGCTGGTGATGTTGTCATTGCTCTTCCCTCTAGTGGTGTTCATAGCAATGGCTTCAGTTTAGTTCGGAAAATCGTTGAAAACTCAGGACTGAAATATTCCGACCCTTCTCCTTTCACCACATCTGGGAAATCCCTTGGTAAATCACGTTCTTTTGTTTTTTGTATACATTTACATTTTAAAAATACAGCATCACGTCTTTTCCTTTATCTTTTGATTCTCAATATCATCTATCAAAAATTTGCTTGCAGGTGAGGAACTTCTTGCTCCAACAAAGATATATGTAAGGAGTGTTCTGGCTGCCTTGCAGAGTGGTCGCGTCAAGGCTCTTGCTCACATTACGGGTGGTGGTCTAACAGAAAACATTCCTAGGGTTCTTCCTCCAGGCACCCGAGTTAGAGTAGATGCCACTGCTTGGAACATTCTTCCAGTTTTCGCTTGGCTTGCTGCAGCAGGTTAGTTAAATACCAGTTCAGAGTCATGCTTTAAATAAACCTTGTGACATATGTCGCCTCCAATTGTCAACTGTGTTTAATTTTCATCTAAGGTGGTGTAAATGAGTATGAAATGCTCAGAACATTCAACTGCGGTGTTGGTCTTATCTTGGTTGTGAGTCCCAATAATGTTAAAGAAGTTATGAGTCTAATAGTTGGTGAGAAAGCAACAATTATTGGAGAAGTTGAGAAACTACCAGCTGGCGGTAA